ATAATAACAGATAATATTAAATAAACAGTATTAAATAATATTAGTATTTACTGTGTACTAATCCTAGTCCTATTAGGATTAGTACTCCTTCTTATATCTCCTATATATATCTCCCATGTATTCCCTTATTAGGTTAACACTTCAATACAATCAATATTCCTTCAAATATGATCTCACAATATTGTGTCTTCTCCTTTTGAATCTGAATTTACCGTTTATAATAATAATTTTGTACCAATAATATTGTTGCTATCAAAAAAAAATTAAAAAAATCTCAAAATAGAAGTGTTTGATATAGCAAAATCAATTCACTTTTTTCACTAGCTAAATCTTAATTTTTTTTTACTTCAACCTCCATATAAGAATTAACAAAAAATAATTTGTTTTTCTCATTCCAACAAACAGAACAAATTTTTCCTTATCTAATTTGCTTGTACCCTCCAAGTACTTTTACTGCATCACCACATAAAGTCAATTGACAGTCACATATCTCACAACTAGGCTAGCAAACTCCCTTTCTTCTTTGTCGCACAATTGAATCAAAAGGAGTTGCAAGACTCACACAACCAAAAAATTGTACTTAACAATATTTCCATCATAATGTGACTTGACAAGGTAAGAAAAATTCATCATATGTTTTATGGTATTTTCTATTATGTTAAATGGCTACTCTACATGCGTTTCATAAATTATTTATAACTCTAATGTTAGATCCAAAAGTCATCTCATTATAATCAAACAAAAACGTTTAATTTATTTCAAATTTATTAAATGCACTTGTAATACTCTTTTAGAGCATTTCTCAAGATGTAAAAATCACAATTTCACAATGATTTTTTTTCATTCCATAAATCCCCACTATTTTAAGAATTTAAGTATTATTTTTTTACGAAAATTAGACTTACTTTATTCATGAAAATATTAGGTAAAAAAAACTATTTTATCTTTTCTCCGCTTGAATTGAGCAAGTAGAAAACAAATACTTTACCCCTACATCTCTTCTCTTCCATCTCCTCAAGAGAGCAATTTTGAGCGAAATGATGTTGAGATCTCTCCTATTTTGATATCCGTATTTTTTAAACTTTTACAAAAACTGAATCTCCTTAAATTGGGTGTGTAATATAACACAAATATAATAAATTACAGCTTGATAAATGAATTAAAAAAATATTCAAGTTGAGACGCAGATATATCGCTCTCTTCAAGGAGATTTGATCTCACTGCGACATTATCTACACGGATCCAATAGTATATCTCTTGACTTGTCCCTCCAAGATACAATAGTCCAACAATGTGTACAACTCGAGTAACTCCGGATTAGTTGAAGAATACAAAGCTCCACATAAGAACTTTTTCCTTCGACATTTAAATATTCTCTTTTGTATAGTGAATATAGTTGAAAATTTAAAATATTTATCTTTATCTCAACTCTCTCTTTCACTACACTAATCTCAACATAAATACAATATAATACTCCTCGTCTTTTTCAATCTATATTGTTTTCGGTATATCTATTCGCGTATTCAACCCAAAGGATGTGTTGAAAATAATAATTCCAATTTGGAGTAGGAATCATAAGTTGACTAGGATTTGTTATTTATAGTATTTACTTATTTATGCTTAATTAAGATTTGTTATTTAGAAATATTCATAGTCCTACGTTAATTTGACTTTTACTGTTATAAATAGGGATGTTACCGTTATTTTCAATACACAAAAATATATAGAAAATATAGAAAAATACAGAATAAATAGAACTTGAATTAAGATTCAAGGACCTTTGAATTTATAAATAAATATATTCCTTCAAACTGGTATAAGAGCTTCTACGATCCTAGTAGAAGATCTTAAAGTTTTCGCTGCCGGAGGACGGTTATGACCCATATATGTCGGTGGTTCGACTAATGATCATGTTGACAAAGGCTAGACAAATGATGTATGCATGAAAAACATGTCAAGTAGAAAGACTTACAAAAATATTGCAGATTTAAAGAAGTGAAATCAAGTACAAGAAAAAAAAAACTCTTCTTAAATTAAAAGTTTAAGAAAGCAAAAAGAAAAGGAGTTGATTGGCAGGGGCGAGAGTTGGAGAGGAAGTGCTCTAACACCAAAAGAAAAAAAAAGGTGTTAGGATAGAAAGTGCTACAACACTTGGAAATTGGAGAGAAGTGCTCCAACACAACCAAGAAAATAATATCATAAGTTAGAGAAAGTATTTTGACACAACCAAGAAAAAAAATAAATGAGAATTGAAGAGCTACTCCAACAATTGATGATTGAAGATAAGTTCTCCAATACAATAGCAATGACAAGAAAGAAATTGAAGATTGAAGAAAAGTGTTTTTCAATACAACAACACTGATAAGAAGAAAAATGCAAGAGTATATAATTTTGAATTACGGGAGAATGTTTGAAAATAATAATTTAAAGTTGGAGTAGAAATCTTAAGTTGAGTATGATTTGTTATTTATGATATTACTTATTTATGTTTAATTAATATTTGTTAGTTAGAGTGGTTCATAATTCTAGTTTGATTTGGTTTTTACTTTTATAAATATGGATATTGATGGATATCACTGTCATTTTCAATACACAAATATATATAAATATGCATAGTGGATAGAACTTGAATTAAGATTCAAGAAACTTTAAGTTTATAAATAAAATATTTCTTTCAGAAAGACCATTATTTATAGGTCATGAATTCTTCTTGCAATGAATAGAAAGATAATAGATAGTAAATTAGATAAATGAATAGTCCAAAGCTTATATAAGTTACAACTATAATAAGATAGAATAATGAGCGAAATTAACGGTACATCATGACAATAATAATTACAAAAGTTACATCACAATAATGACCGCATTCTTGTCAACTTATGCCCACTAACATATGCACTTAATATTTTAATTTTAATGTTAAAATGCATAAATACCAACATCTAGTTTGTGAATAATTCTTCTACTTCATTAAGGTACACGTAGAATTCATCGTTCTTAATACATGATATATATGCTTTCAATGTGACCATTTACGAATTTAATTACTCCCGTTTTATTAAAGAACAGGAGGATTTGGACAAAATCAAGTTAGAGTGTACTCAGCCTCTATCCAATCAGTAATCTTAGGACTAATCCATTTTACATAAAAACAAAATATTGTACAAACCCTAGTAAATGTCTGATTAAAACTGGTGAAAATTCCCATGTTTTTAACCTAAACAAAGAATACAAGAACTTGGCCTGCTTCCAAATGATGTGTGTGTATATATATATATATATATATATATATATATTTATACGGGATAAGACACTAGTATCCCTCTAGACTATGATCGAAATCTCAAAGACACACTTTAACTAAACTAAATCCTATTAACCCCTTGACTCATTTTTTATTTTATTTTTTGTAATTTTATACACTTTTTGGTTACCTGGCGCACTCCGTGACTTCACGTAGCTGAGGCGCGTGGGAGATGTTTGGATGTCACATAAAAAAATGTGTTCTAGATAATAAAATCTTAGTTTAGTTAAGATGTGTCTCTGAGATTTCGATCATAGTCTGAAAATTACTTGTGTTTTATCCCTATGAAAACAAAAGGATAAATCTAGAAGTACTGGCAGTATAAACTGCAACTATGGCATGTTAACTAAGTGAACACTTCATGTACTAGTTTACACTGTACGAAATGGGAGGCAAATATGGTCTTTTCCAATATGCAGATGGCATAGACAAGTTGTTAATGTTACTTGGCTCACTAGGATCCATTGGAGATGGGCTGATGACTCCTCTCAACATGATTATCCTTAGTAGCCTCATCGATGATTTTGGAACTGCTGATGATTCATTCTCTGATAAAATTGTCGACGAGGTATATAATCTATAACAATTTTTACCATTTTTATAATTCATAGAATGTGTTATCATGATCCATTGAGCCTAGCTAGTCTCCTTGTATCTATATTCCACATGAATAGATACACTTCAGTTCAATAATTTATCGCCCCAATGGCTTATATATAAGGAAGCACAGTGTAATATTGCCACACTCATGTCGGAGCCTCCAAAAGTAGAGTACTTTTGGAGTATCCGACACACACATTGACATAATTGAAGAGTCTTAGCAGCATAGAGCTGAGATAGCCTAATTTATTTATTAGAAGAAAAATCATTGTGCTCAACACACAAATCAAGAGGTTTAATTTACAACATTATTGTTGATATCTTATCAATATTTCTTATCTTCCTCTTAACAGTATGCATTAAAGCTACTCTATGTTGCCGTTGGAGTTGGAGTATCCGCTTTCATTGGTTTGTCCCTTTATGCTTTCTATTAGTTCTTAAAAGTATTTCACTTCTCCTGAAAAGTTTGTCCTTCGTTTTGTTATATTGAATAGACAGAATACTATCTACTTACTGTAAACATTTTACTTTTCGGGTTCTATAGAAGGATTTTGTTGGACAAGAACTGCAGAGAGACAAACATCCCGAATCAGGAAGGAATATTTGAAATCAGTACTAAGGCAAGAAGTTGGTTTCTTAGAAAAACAAGATGCTTCATCCTCTACCTTTCAAGTAATATCAACCATTTCTACTGACACTCATATAATACAAGATGTTATTGCAGAGAAGGTATTATCGATCACCAATATGATTTACATTTATAAGTTTCCACATGACGCCTAATTATTTTCAAACCCAACAGTGAGTATACTTTTCAAATGGTTCCAAAAGAAACAGGTTCTTATGATGGATTCACAAAACTACCCAGATCGGCATAGTGTTCTTTCCTTTTTCATCTTTTTATTTCCATGTTGCAGATTGCCACTTGTCTAGCTCACCTGTCAGCGTTCGTTTGTGGCCTGATTGTAGCCTTCTTCCTTTCATGGAGACTAGCACTGGTGTCTTTCCCCTTCTCTCTTGGTTTCGTCATTCCAGGGGTAGCATTTGGAAGTTTGCTAGAGAAATTGGCAATGAAGATGAAGGATACTTATGGTATAGCAGGGAGCATTGTAGAACAAGCAATTTCATCAATCCGAACAGTTTATTCGTATGTTGGGGAAAGTCAAACAGTAAGCAGATACAGCCGTGCTCTTGAGGAAAGCATGAAGCTTGGCCTCAAACAAGGATTCACAAAAGGATTGCTCATTGGGAGTATGGGAATGGTTTATGTGGCTTGGAGTTTTGAATCTTGGGCAGGAAGTCTACTTGTTGCAAACAGAGGAGAAAGCGGAGGACGTGTTTTTATATCAGCTGTCTCTTTGGTTCTTGGAGGACTGTAAGACACTTAAATTTTTACCTTCTTATGAATGAACATGTTTAATGCTTACTAAAGAATGATTCCAATTTTTATGTACTGAGAGTGCAATGGATTTTCTTTTGTGACGTTAGATCTTGTATGGCTGCACTTCCAAATCTCTCGATCATGATAGAGGCGATGGCAGCTGCCTCTAAAATTTTTGAGCTGATTAATCGAACACCTGAGATAGATTCTGAAGATACCAAAGGGAGAGTTTTAGCATATGTTAGAGGAGATATTGAGTTTAAGGAGGTCACTTTCAGTTATCCAGCAAGACCAGAAGTCCAAGTTCTCCAAAATATTAGTTTGAAAGTGAAATCAGGGAAGACTGTTGGTATTGTGGGAGGTAGTGGTTCTGGGAAGTCTACAATCATTTCTTTGCTTGAAAGGTTCTACGATCCAGTGAAAGGAGACATATTTCTTGATGGACACAAAATCAAAAGACTAAAGCTTCAATGGTTAAGATCTCAGATGGGGTTGGTAAATCAAGAACCTGCTCTTTTTGCCACATCCATAAAGGAAAATATCTTATTTGGAAATGAAGGAGCTTCGCTGGAAATGGTTGTTGAAGCTGCCAAGGCTTCAAATGCTCATGAATTCATAGTTAGTTTACCGAATGGATACAATACTCATGTAAGGCCAAAACTTATAAATTTGCTATTATTTCTACTTACCTCTTTAAAGCTGGTTTTAATTGAATTTCAGGTAGGACAACTTGGATTCCAATTATCGGGTGGTCAGAAGCAAAGGATCGCTATAGCAAGGGCTTTAATTAAAGAACCTAGAATTCTTCTACTTGATGAAGCTACAAGTGCTTTGGATGCAGAATCTGAAAGACTAGTACAAGAGGCCATTGACCAAGTTTCACAAGGACGGACAACTATTGTCGTAGCACATCGCCTCACTACAATCCGCAAAGTTGATAACATAATAGTACTACAGTCGGGGATAATTGTTGAAACAGGTTCTCATGATAAGCTGATGCAGATTAGTGAAGGAGAAGGTGGAGTTTACTTTAACATGGTAAAGCTACAGCAATCCACATCTAGAAATACCACAGACAGTCCATATCACTATAAGGAGGCAACAAGTTACCTAAGGAGGAAGTATGTCAATACTCCAAAATCTCCATTCATTGCTAGATCAAGTTGGCAAAATAGCCCTGGCAACCCTCCTTTTAGCCCAGCAATAAGCACAACTTATGTTCCATCAATCCAAACATACTCTTTCTGCGATAGTGATTATGAGTACTCAGAGATGAGTAATTCCACTCATCAAAGACCTTCAACCTGGCGTTTGTTCCACATGAATGCGCCAGAGTGGAATAGAGCCTTGCTGGGATGTTTAGGAGCTGCTATGTTTGGTGCATTGCAACCGGCTTTTGCCTTTTGCTTGGGATCTGTTGTCTCGACGTATTTGATAAATGATAGCTCAAAACTTAAGTCAGAGGCCAAACTTTACAGCTTAACGTTTCTAACCATCGGTATCATCAGCTTCTTTGCAAATCTAATACAACATTACAATTTTGCTGTGATGGGAGAGCGATTAATAAAGAGATTGCGGGAAGAAATGCTCACTAGCTTGCTTACCTTTGAGGTTGGATGGTATGATCGAGATGAGAATACCAGTGCAGTTATTTGTTCAAAGCTATCAACAGATGCTAGCATGGTACGATCCCTTGTTGGAGATCGAATGTCCTTGCTTGTTCAGGTTCTTGTTAGTGCTTCCATAGCTTTTGGGCTCGGATTGATCATCTCCTGGAGGATTGCAATTGTACTAATTTCTGTACAACCTTTCACTATTACGAGCTTTTACTCAAGGAGTGTTGTAATGAAAAGAATGTCAGAAACGTCCCAAAAGGCGCAAAATGAAGGAAACCAGCTAGCAAGCGAAGCAGTCATCAATTACAGAACTATCACAGCATTCTCTTCCCAGGATAAAATGTTATCCCTTTATGCAGAAACACAAAAAGGCCCCAATAAGGAAAATGTTAAACAGTCATGGTTATCAGGCATTGTCTTATTTTTCTCTCTTTTCTTGACCGCAGCCTCCGTTTCATTGACATTTTGGTATGGTGGGAGACTGATGAAAAAAAATCTAGTGAGTGCAAAACATCTATTTCAAGTTTTTTTCATTTTGTTGAGCACTGGTAAAGACATAGCAGATGCTGGGAGTATGAGCTCTGATTTGGCTAGAGGTGGCAGTGCAATATCATCAGTGTTCAAAATATTAGATATGAAAAGTGAGATTCCACCTGAGGATCCTCAAGGGATTCAAGTCAAAAATCCCATAAAAGGCAAGATAGAGCTTAAGCATGTGTACTTTTCTTATCCAACAAGGCCTGAACAAGTGATATTCCATGACATGAACCTCAAAGTTGATGCTGGAAAGACAGTAGCACTCGTTGGATCTAGTGGCTCAGGAAAATCCACCATTATTGGATTGATCGAAAGATTCTACGATCCAACAAAAGGATTAGTATTGATAGATGACAGAGATGTCAAAATCTACAATCTGAGGAGCTTGAGATCACAAATTGCTCTAGTCAGTCAAGAACCTACTCTCTTTGCGGATACAATTCGCCAAAATATCGCTTATGGCCAAGAGGAAGCTACAGATTCAGAAATCAAGAAAGCTGCAATTCTTGCTAATGCTCATGAGTTTATAAGGTATCAAGCTACAAAACTGAACTCTACTTATTTGTTTCTGTTTGATTAAATATTTCTAATAATTCAATAATTCTTCTTCTAACTTGTACATTATGTTTTCATATTAGAAGTATGGTCAAATACTTGAAGATAAATAATTATTATGACCTTTAGTGGTGCATTTCTAGTGAATGAATGCTTCAAATGAAGATAACTAGAAGGAAAAAAGTTTACTATATTGCTGGACTAATTTAAGGATATAGATTACACCATCAGGTATAGTTGTTACCATTTTCACAAGGCTACAAATTAGTGCTTATCATAGAGATTTACTTTTAATTACCCCTACATGACCTGACTGTGTAAAATATTTTTACACAGTCAATACGTAGTACACGATGATTAGAGGATGCATATAGCTGCTGTAAAATTTAATCATGAAGGAGACATGCTGCTTTGTTACTAAGCTTGCAATCTTACAATGCAGTTCCATGAAAGATGGATATGAAACTTATTGTGGAGAAAGAGGAGTTCAACTTTCAGGAGGACAAAAGCAAAGGATAGCCCTTGCTCGAGCAATAGTAAGGAATCCAGCGATACTTCTCTTAGATGAGGCGACTAGTGCTCTTGACAGTGTCTCTGAGAATTTAGTGCAGGAAGCCTTGGAGAAGATTATGGTTGGTAGGACATGTGTTGTTGTAGCTCATCGTTTATCAACAATACGTAAGGCAGGCACCATAGTTGTGATAAATAATGGGAAGGTCGTAGAGCAAGGATCTCATCTGCAGCTACTTGACCACGGGCATAATGGAGCTTATTTCTCCTTGATGAAGTTGCAACTTGGGCACACTCCTTAGCTTTACTTTAGAAACTATGGAAGAAGCTAACCATGTAATGTTTCAAATTTTCCTTTATGTTTATTTTGTTCACTAGAGTACTTTATCTTTTTTTAATAAAGACATGTATAGAAGAGGAATCCCCAATGAAAGGTAAACTAGTTTGCCGGAAAAATCGTGTGGACTCAAACTAAGTTAGATTTATAAAAATAGGATCAAAGGCAAATGAATTAAGTTCGATCAAGTTTCCTTCGTTTTTTGTATTGGTCCAATTGACGGAAATAAAGGAAGTAAACAATATCTTTTTAGCAAAGAATAAGAAAGCTAAATATTGGAAGGCCAGAACTAGAACAGAAAAAATCATATTCCCTCTTGATTAGAAATTGTGCATTAATTATAACAAGAGAAAGAATGAGATGCCCTACTTCTCCCATGCAAGGGTTTATTTATAGGGCAAAGTGTCACACCCCGATCCTAAACTCTGGACGTGACGGACACTCGATGTCATTGCTGGCCTGTACTCATAACATGGCATTGGACATGAGCGTACATCTATACATGAGCAGAAGTATAATTTAAAATCATTCGGAGAGTCAAGTTTTATAAAAGAAAACAGTCCACATAAAGCATAAGTCATAGAATTGAAATCGCTAATAAGGGACACGAAAGTCCAAACTAAAACATAACCATCTATCTATCTATGAAGCCTCTAAACATAGCTGAGAAGACACGGCCTTGTGCATACCTTAAAAGCATAAACATCAAGTACTAGAAATGTGCCGACTATGCCCTCGGAAACAGAGAGGGGCTCACAATTGCATAAGATATGGAACCTAGTGAGCGGCCTGAGCAGATGCAACTCCTCCACAAATGGGACGTAAGTACATATGGAATAATACTCTATGTAATATTGGCGGAATGAAACATAACATACATGCCAGATCATTAGAAGCAGCTAACATAGTCATAATTATAAAATATGAAATGTTAAAAGATGAGGTCATTCCAACTACCTTGAGGATTTTTCTTTCATCATATTTTAGTTCATTATGGGAGTCTAATAGGGTAACTGATGTAAACCACCATGTGAGATCATGGAGTCTAATCTCGGCCTGATCATCTAAGCCCTCTCCTAACTTATCGGGTATGAGACATACGTATACACATCATGTGGATCCATTACTAGCCCTTACCTGGGGAATAAAGAAGGAGTCCCCGAAACAAATGGTACGATCCTTAACCTACATCGACAAACATAGTTTCAGACGTTCTTCATTTAGACTTATGCCTTCTCAGTTAAGTATCTAGTTCCCTTCAGCTCATATGATCCTAGAATTTGTCTAAAGTCTCATAGTCATAACATTTCAGTACAATACATCATAGATTTAGTTTATATAATTACATTGTGAGACTAAAATTCATGAATCATAATTCTGCATTCATGAGAAACATAAATCATCTCATAAAAATAAATTTAGAGAATCATAAGATATCATCATAATTTCTCACATTTAAAACTTTCATAACTCATAGTTCTAGGGGTCATAACATAAGAATTTCCAAGAAAACATCAAGAAAATCATAAAAAGAGTTATCAAGAAGTCATAAAGAAAATCATTAAAGTAGTTCTCAAGATAAGAATTTCTTCTTTCAATAATCATTAATAAATTCATGTAGAAAATGTGGGGTGGAAGCGAAAGTAAGAGTGAGAAAGAGATGTATATGAAAGGGATGATCTTATTATGAGGGAGAACCCTCTATTTATACAAGAAAACTTGACACCTTTGGCCAAATGGCCGACACTCCTACTTTACACCTGGCCTTTTTATATTCGGCCGACACAAAAAAACAAAAGACTTACTATTACTTCTTTACATAATGGCCTCTTCTTTTATTTGTGGCCGACACATTTACTATTTACTTTACGACTTTTTACATAATTGGTCTTTTATGGCCGACGCAAAACGACAAAATACAATATTATTACAATAATACTATTATTACATAAAGTATCTTATTTTTGCAAGTTATCTTATTCTAATTGTACCTCGGGGATTATGTCATCACCTTGGTTACATTTAGAACATATATGGTCTGGATATTTGTGACCAATTAACTTGCAATATCTTGTCATTAGTTCTTCAGAGATGAATCCTTGTTTTATTGCTCTAGTTGTTGGAGTAGCTTCTGGTTTTAACAAAGACAAAATCCATTTCTGGACTTCTTCCATATCTGCTTGCCTTATCTCTCGCGAATTGGCATATATCATTAAATGATCTCTTGAATAGTAGCTCCATATGGTATTTCCTTGTAGATAGTTATTAGCTAACTCCTGTATGATAGTTGATAACCCGATTATTCTTTTATTAGCATAAAAACTGGGTATCTCAACTTTTGGTATCTCTGGTTGTTGCCCTATGTCTTCCGGTATTATCATCTCTCGTGTTAATCCAATTTTCACTATCTGGATCATTGGTTTTATTTCATCATAAAGTATCTCAGCTGGTGCAGTATAGAATATTATGAAAAATAAGTTTCCTTTTGTTATTTTTTTGTATATCAAAAATGCTTTGTGAACCTCCGGAATTCCACTTATCTCTTCTCCTGTATATGTATAAACTGTATCTAATAATCCATAATTATAACAAGTTTTAACTAAGTTTGGATTTGTTTTTTATTGTGCGATTAACTTGTTATAACCTTGTAATTTTTGGGTTAGATAGTCCTGGGTTTTTTCTGTGGTTGTGGTAGATTTGGGTTTATGGTTCAAAAATTTTTGTATTTTGTATAGGTTTTCAATATATGCTTGGGATATGTGGTTATATGTTTTCTTTCCTTATGCAGGTTGGCTGCATATGTAAATATTTGTGGTGCTGGGGTATCTACTATACCTTTGGAATAAATGGTTTCGTAAATAAGTTGTTTAGGTTTGTATTTTTTGATGTAGTTTTTTCCATAGCTCGTGTGCTTGTACCTGCAACATTAGCAATTTTATGGGTTTTAGGGAGTTTCCCAACGTCTCCTTTTAGCTCTGAAATTTTTGCGTCTTCCGATCGACGTAGCTCCGCATGTTTATAGTCATGCTGCTGACTTATATTTTTCATCTTTTGAAACTCTTTATCCATACTGTCCACTTTCGCAGAAAGTGTAGTAATGGCTTTGAGTATTTCTTCCATCGTATCTTTTTCTGGTTCAGTTTGGGTTCCTTTTTCTTGATAGATAGTCTGCAACAAGATTCTTGTTAGTCTTAATTACTTCAATTGTAAATGTAAAATTTAATATATTTAATATTAATCTCCTTATTTCTTTTGTTGTAACTGAATCTTCTAACTTTTTTGTTATCCACCATTTTACCTGTGTATTATCTGTTCTTACAATAAATTTATTGTAAACAATATATGGTTCAAATGCTAATAAACATTTATATAATGCGAATAATTCTTTTCTATTTATTTCCCATTTTATTTGTGCTTCTGTATAAGACCCTGAATAATATCTACAATGGTGTTCTATTTTTTCTTTTTCATATTTGTATTTTAAAACTCCTCCATAATTATGATCACTCGAATCTGTTTCAACAATATAAGTAAATGTTTTATTTTCATCAGGAAAATATAGTTTTGGTAATTTTTTACATAAATTCTTAATATTTCTTATATGTTCTTTATCTTTATTGTCGAAATAGTATTCTACATCTTTTTTAAGTTTTTTATGTAATGATTTTAAATGTTCCGCTAATTTTGGTATATATTCCCTTACTTGATTTACTAATCCTAGGAAGAATTGTAATTTCTTTTTTGTATCTATATTCTCATCAAGGTTGATTATTTTTTGTACTACGTGGTTTTGCATTTTTATTCCATTTTTATCTATTTGTATTCCTAGAAATTCTATCTGTGGTTTCATAATTTCTGCTTTCTTTTTACTTAAGCTTATACCTGAGTGCTTAATTATGTGTATAAATTTTTCTAATAATCTTATATGTTCATCTCGTGTCTTAGAATATAGTAATATATCATCTATAAATACAATACAATTTTCTAACTGGTTAAAACAGTTGTCCATAAAGTGTTGGTATCTTCCTGGTGTATTTTTATATCCAAATGGTAAAACATTCCATTCATAGAAACCTTGCGGTACTGTGAATGCTGTTAGCTGTTTAGATTCTTCTTCTAGTTTTATGTGGTAAAATCCTGATTTACAGTCAAATTTACTAAAATAATTATATCCTTGTATTTGTCTTATTTTTAGTATTTTGTTTGGTATTGGATAATTGTATGTTTTAGTTTTAGTATTTAGATTACGATAATCTATGACCATTCTACTTTTACCTCTTTTTTGTTCACTATATTTTATAACTATAAATGCTGGACTTGTATGTTTGCTATTGCTTTCTTGTATATAATTATTTTCTAATAGTTCATCAATATGAATTTTGAATTCCTTTAAATCATCAAAGTTATATTTTAGTGGTTTCTGTGTTATTATACTATTTTCATCTATTAGTTCAATTTTTACTTTTGTCTTATGTTTTTCCCATCCTTGTAATGGATCTTCGTTATATAGTTGTTCTAGTTGTTCATTTATTATTTTAACTTTATCTATTGTAAATATAATAATTTCTAATTGTGATATTTGGTTCCTACTTATATTTTCCATTTCTTGGTTTATTTTTTCACTTCCTTTTATCCATTCTATAGGTTTTCGTTGTTTATTATTTACTCTTTTTGCTCCTATTTTGTTTCCGCATGGTGTAGTAAAACCACCAATGTGTTTTTGTTATTATATGTGGATAAAATCTATCTAAAAATGGCATTCCTAATAACATATCTTTTGTGGTAAATTCAAAATTATACATTTCTTCTATTGTTAATATTTTATCTCATATTTGTATTTTTATATTTTTTGCTTTATATTTAATCATACTTCCTTCATTATTAAATTCTGTTACTACCATAGGTGTTTTTAACTTTTCCCATTTATCTTATAGTAAGCAATTATATTTACATATATTCGCTTCTGCTCCTGTATCTATCATAGGGGTATAATATCTGTTGTGATATCCTTTTACAATAATTGTTGCAAGTATAAATATTTTCATTAATCATTTTGTTCTTTTTATAATTATTTTCTTATTTTGACAGGTTATTGTTAATTGTTCATTTTCGATGTTGTACGGTTTAACTTTTTCTATCCATTTTATTCCTAATGTAATATTATGGTTTCCTTGATATATTTTAAATGGTATTACTAAGGGTATTCCTCCTATAATTATTTCTTTTTCCGTTGTTTCTTCATTTGTGTTTACTATCTCACTAGGTAACCCAGGGCATATGTGTACTGTTTTTATAATTTCTTCTTCTAATACTAACTCTCTTGTTATTTAATTTTCTTCTTGTCCTGTATTTATTAAAATTTTATGTTTTCTTTGGTCTATTATTCCTGTTATGAAATAATGATATGGTGTTATTTCTTCCTTATCTAATAAGTTTTGTGGGATTTCATAGTTTCTTTTAGATGTACTCATTCTTGATGAGGTAGCTCTTGTTAACGTATTTGGTACACTTGAAGTGCTTAATCTTTCTTTTACAATTTCTAAATCTTCTTCTGTATCAATTTCTTTATAACTATAGTCATTATTGTCTATTATAGTAATTATTTTTTCGAAAGGATTTTCTATTTTTATTTTATCGATTTTATTTCTTGCTGTTATTTTATGTTTTGCTGTTAATATATATAAGTTTTTGCATCTTGCTGTAAATATTTTACTGCCTGGTGCTAACTCTATTCCAGACATTTTCCAATATAATACTAATGATTTATCTATATTTCTATCTGTTAATGCTACTGTATAATTGAAACTTATTATAAATTTAAATTTTTGGTATATTAGGTTTCCTTTTACTGCACTGATTACGCTTTTTTCTATAGGGTGTATAATTTTATCATCTGCTAAGTATATTTCAATAGGTGTATCTATTCCTTCTGTAAAACAAGCTTTTATTAATATTTCTGTTCCTCCTAGATGTACATATTTTATAGGTGTTTTAATTTTTATATCTTGTATTTCTTTATTTATTATTCGTTTACTTAGTATAGGTATATATGCTTTTCCTCTTGCATATTTACAATCTATAATATGTTCTTTCTGACTAACTACATAATATTCTTCCTTTTGTCTTTTAAACAAATTTCTCAAAGTAGGTATTTCAAGTACTTTTTCAACACTTAAGTCTAATTCTTTTCCTTTTATTTGTTCAAAAATTGTATTATCAAATATAATTTTTTGGTCTGATAACTCTTCATTTTGATAATCTTCTTTGGATATTATTTTTATGTCGTCTTCAGACATTATATTTCTTCGTCTATTATATCATTATTTAGGTTAATATATTCTTCTTCATTTTTTGTTTCTATGTCTGATACTTCGTATATACTATCATTTTCACTTAGTTCATAGTCTATATATTCTATTTGCATATATTTGTCACTATCTATAATTATTTCTGCAATTTGCTTCTTTTTTGGGTATTTTGGTAACTTAC